CATTGTGAGAAATAGGCATATAAATAATAAGCGTTCAGTTGACAAGTTAGGAAGGAAAGCATGTAGAATGCTGTCCAGAGCCCAATTAACTTCTCCTTCACAGTCCCAAGGTGCACCTCCACCAGAATACCCACACCCCCTCCTCCCTGTCAGGCTGGACAGTTCTACTCTTCATCCTAACCACAGTTACACCATATCACCGATTTTTTTAAAGGTATCATAAACCACCAGGTGCTACAATGCACACCTGTAATCCCAGCCACTCAGGAGGCTGAGGTAAGAGGAGCAGGAGTTTTAAGGCCAGCCTGGACAACTCAGAGAGACCCTGTCTCACAATAAGAAATAAAAAGGGCTGGAGACATTTCATTGATGCAACGCCCCTGGGCTTTTCAAAATGTGGGTTTTAAAAATGAAATTCTGAAGCAGAGCATGGTGGCACACACCTGTCAATGGGTAAAAGTAAGTATCCTAGCCAGAAACGAGGAAGAGGTTCCCAGGCCCTGGCCACTGGCATCCCCCTGAGTCCCCTAGCTACATAACATCCCTGAGCCTGCTAATTCAGGTGTCACCTTTGTGCAAATGTAGAAAAGGTGCCTCATCCTCCGGATGTGTGCAGCCAGGCACCAAGGTGGTGGTTCAAAAAGTGCAGCACACACTGAATTTCAGCCTGCACTGACTCCCTGTCAGGGATTTTTTGTGCAGAGCACTCTTGTATAACTGTTCTCAGCAGCCCTGCCTAGGGTACCTCTGGGGACCCACCCACCGCCAACAGCCCACCCAGCACTGGTACCCCACACTTCTTCAGACTGGCAGCCTGGCTCCCGGATAAAGCAGTTGAGCCATGTGTTTTTTGTGAGATATCTTATTGCAGCTATAAAATCCATTAAAATTACGTTTCTAAGTAAACTGAAATGAGTTCCTCTTATGGCTGTGGGCCGAGAATTCCCTTGAGTCAGACAGGGTATCTCGTCCTTCCCAGCGTCTCCAGCAATGAGGATGGTTTCTGGCACACAGAGGCACTTCCTGAGCATAAATGTGTTGAATAAAAGAACAAATGATAGCTATTATGGTTTGGATCTGGAATGTCCCCCAGAAGCTCATGTGTTGAAGGCTAGGTCTCCAAGGCAGCAGTGCCCAGAGTGATTAGATCATGAGGACTTTGATCTCATGGATGGATTAATGTACTGATAGCTGATGGACTAATGGGAAGTGGTGGAAACTAGGCAGGTAGGGCATGGTTGGGGGAAGTATGTCACTGGGAGTGTGTCCTTGGGGACTCTTGTTTCTGACCCATTCCTCCCTCCCTCTCCTCCCCCCTAACTCCCTCCAGGCTACCATGAACTGAGTGTTTTAATATGCCCCACCTTTCTGCCATGAGTTCCACCTCACCTGAGGCCCAAAGCCGACTGTGAACTAAAAGTTCTGGAACTAGAACCTCGTGGCACAACGGTAGCACGTTTGACTCCAGATCCAAAGTTCTGAAACTATGAGCCAAAATGAATCTTTACTCCTCCAAGTTGTTTGGGTCAGATATTCTGGTCTCAATGAAGAAAAGATGACTAACGAAAATGGCAGAATAAGTACCTTGGTCAGCCAGAAACATCTAAAACTGTTACTCAAAGTATAAACATTTTTATTATGTAGAAATGTAAATTTATTTATTTATTTATTTTCAGTACGAAGAATTGAGCCCAAGGGCACCCTACCACTGAGCTACATCCCCAGCCCTTGTTTTTTATTTTTCATTTTTTGATTTTTGAGTCTCACCAAGTTGCCCAAGCCGACCTTGAACCTCCCAGTTCTCCTGCCTCAGCCTCCCAGATAGAGTGACTGGGATTAAAGACGTGCACCACCACACCTGGCTGAAAGTCCTTATCAAAGTGCAACAGTAGGATATTTAGCAGGATATCTTAAGAGGTTAAATCTGAATAAAAACAGAAATTCAGAGAAATAAGAACAGCTTGGAAGCTGGGTTTTGCCTGAGGGCATTTGCCAGTACTCAAGATCTTTTCTACGGAGGGAGCATATTGGGGAAGCCCTGTCTCCTCGACCCCTACATAAAGCTGAGCTTTTAAAAGCCTCACCTGTAGGGTAAGTGTGAGGTAGAGATAAACCTACACATCTAGAGACTCAGGAGAATTTGCCTTCTTTAAATCTGGGTACTGCGTTTGGGGGGGAGGGGACTCTCAATTAAACAAGCTAGTCATCCCTCAAGTGTGCCCCCAGAATCTGCTAAAACAAATTTAAACTTGCTATAAAGAAACCACCTTCAACTAAGAGGCCTCCAAAAATTTCCACCCACAAGGTTTCCAAAGACTGTGTTCACAGTCAAAAATCACAAAACAGGAGCGGGTGCTGGGTGGAGCGGGTGCTGGGTGGAGGTGCATGCCTGTAACCCCAGCAGCTCAGGACACTGAGACAGGAGGATCAGGAGATGGGAGGCCAGCCTGAGCAACATAGTGAGACCCCGCCTCAAAATAAAACACAACCTGGAGACATATCTCAGTGGTAGAGCTCCCCTGGGTTCAATCCCAGGCACAGGGGAAATTTTCTCACAGTTCCAGAAAGAGAAGAAAAGAGAGGAGAGGAAGGAAAAGAGAGTTAAGGGAACATTAGCAGACAAAGGGTGAGGACTTTCCAGACAGAGGAAAAACATCATGGGGGGGGGGGTGCGGGAGGTGGGGGGGGGGGTTTGCTGGGGTTGTGGCTCAGCAGTAGAGAGCTCGTCTAGAATGTGCGAGGCCCTGGGTTCGATCCTCAGCACCACATAAAAATTAATAAATAAAATAAAGGTACAAAAAAATATTTAAAAAAAAACATCACTTCCATGGGTTCAAGAAGATTTATGGAGCCCAAGCAGGTTACACACAAAGAAATCTAACCCTGGAAGCCAGGTGTGGTGGCACACATCTGTAATCTCAGAGACTCTGGAGGCTGAGGCAGGAGAATCGTAAATTCGAGGTCAGCCTCATGAATTTAGACCCTGTCCGAAAATATAGAATAAAATAAAAAGGGATAGGGATGTAGTTCAGGAGCAGAGCGCCCCTAGGTCAGGTTCCAAGTGTGGGGAGGGGCAGTCTGTGCACCTAACCACACTCAATCCCACCCCTTGATTGCTACCCCTACCAGATTCCATTGTAAATGCCGCTCCCCTATTCCCCACCGCAAAAACAAAATATTCTTTTTTTAACTTTAAAATTATTTCACTAAAACAAACGGAAGAATCTGCTACTGTCCCTTTTCATTCCTGTAGAGACGCAGAAGTTAAAGGACAGGTGTTCTGTGCACCTGTGCTTCTCTCCAACCTCTGGGCTGCCCACCCTCCAGAACCCCCTAGAAAAGCGGACCGTACGCCCTTGCCTGAGCAGCCGCTCCCCGCAGCCTGGAGCCCCTCTGCCCACTGAAACAAGACCCCTCCCTTCGGGGCAGCACTGACTCGCACCCAGGTCTCCTGGCCTCCAACGGACCCTCGCTTGACTTTGCTTAGAGTGGGCGGGTCTCAGGTGAAGTTGATTGCTGGGCACCAGAAGATCCTTCTGCCTTAACCTCCTCTGAGCGCCAAGATCTATCTCCAGGGCTGTGACCCTGTGCGCCAGCCCTAACACGGTTGACCCCTCTGCAGGGGCCCAAGAAAACCTACCCCGCGCCCCCCCCCCGCCCCTCCCGCGACTCTCCCCCAGGGGCCCTGCTCTCTGCCCGCAAGAGGGCGCTGTCTCCAAATTGTCTGCCTCTGGGCGGCGACGGGGAATGGGGCGAGTACTTTTCCATGGAACTGAATAGCGCCGAGATGTGGACCTTCCTGATAACCCCGCAGGGTGGCGAAGGGGAGGCAACCCTGGGAGGAAGGGTTCCAAAAAGGTGCGGCTCTCAGCGGCTTACCGATCCCCGACCAGTGGGCTTAGTTCCACAAAGTTGCACAGGGAAGAGGGGAGGGGAGTAAGAAGGAAGTGGTCTCCATCTGAGGTTGAGATATTTTTTCCCCAGGATACAGGGAGAAACTTGCCCGGTTTGGACAAGGCCTAGAGGCAAGGAATGTCGAGTAAAAAGCCTCTTAATCTCCCCGACCCCACCCTCCTGCCTGAAAACACTGATGCAGACAATAGACAATAAGTCAATTAGTCATCTTCTCTGAAGAGGGCTGAGGACTTGGGTTGGCTCCAGTGGGATGGCTGGTGATTCATTCAAATGAAACTTCAGGGATTGGCTGGGTCAATATTAACAGAAGCTGCATTTGGCCCATCCCAGGGACCCCTATTGTGCCCCATGTGTGAGCACCTCATGATTCACAAGTTCATGGGGCTGCCAGCTCCTCAGGCCACGACCCCCAACATAAAGGACCCCATCTCTGAACGCAGGGAGAGAGAATTCTAGTGGGCTTCTCCAAGGGCTGGTGATGGGGCTCAGTGGTGGAGCACTTACCTGGATGCTTGAGGCCCTGGGTTTGAAGCCCAACACCATGAAAATATAAAAATAAAAAAAAAAAAAATGTGCCTCTCTACCTGCAACTGGAGCATGAGTAGCTTCAATCAACTCTACAGTCTTTAGTGGTCTCAGAAACCACCTCAGACCCGGACTCATGCATCTCAGATGTGCCAGCTACGCCCCACCTCCCTATGGTGACAGAGTGGATTGGCCCCACCCCAGGGCCCATCCAGCACTTCCCCTGTCACCACACCCAGAGCAAAACATGTCTTCAGGGAGCTGTTAGGACGATCTCTGTCCCACTTCTAGGGACCCCAAGCTCCCTCACAGCCCAGACACCATTTCCTTCTCCAGTCTCACCCTAGGTCTCTACTGGAGATCATTTGATGGCTTCCCCAAGGGGGGGGGGGGCAACTTTTCTAATTCACATAAAGTCTCCTTATGAGCTCGCAGCAGCCTTACCAGGGCAGATGGCAAGTGAGTCAGTCCAGAGGTTAACAAGGAAGCAGACTTCCTGATGGCTGGTACAGCCAGACCAAAGAGGAATCAGAAATCATTGGAAAGCCATGACACAAGGATAGATTCAACAATAACAACAACAAAAAAAATTTATTGTGCAATTACCCACCACTGGATTGGACTCAGACAAGCCCCCAGAGGGCATCTCCACCTTCCCAATTTATTTGTAGTCCTTGAGGGCATCATTGTAGATCAAAGCCAAGGCCCCTAGGAAGGTGACATACTCCTGGAAGTTCACCTCCTGGTCCTTGTTCCGGTCCAGGTCTTCCATCAGCCTTGAAATTTCAGCATCCTGCAGCTTCTAATGTGTTAGAATGGAAAGTGCAGACTCAAGGAGGAGCCCCTGGGTGCTCTCCCTTCCTCCCTCCCAGGCAGCTCTGCTCAGGGACATCCACCTTGGGTTCAGCTTGGCTTTACCTCTCTTCAGTCCCTGCTCCTCCCTTGCGGGACTGAACACCAGGACAAGACGATCCCCACCCCGGGAGGGAATGGATCTTCAGCTCAGGGAGGCCAGCGGCCCAGGGCCAGATGGCTGAGTGGGCAGAGGGGCCTGGGGAGGAGGCTACTCACGGCGCCGATGGAGAGCTCCTTCTGGATCAGTTCCTTGAGCTCCTTCTTGCTCAGGGTGCTCTTGTCACCCTCCCTGCCCGAGTACTTGTGGAAGATGGCCACGAGCAGACCAATGGCCTGATCCAGGGGGCACGCCATGACTGGGGGCTGGACCTAGAGCTGGTGACAGAAGGGCTGGTTAGTGTCACAGCACCAGGGACTTCTTGCTCACCACACACCCCCAGAGCTCTGTCCCCACGACCTGCCTGAACCACCCAGCCTCAGGCCACACACAGGTGGCATCAGGAGGCAGCGCAGGAGAGGTAGGAGCAGACTGAGGCCAGGGGACAGCGCCCCAAGAGGCCACCGCGGGGGAACAGAGACGGTTCAGGGTTCTGAGGAGCAAACGGGCCGATGGCTTAGATCAGGCCAAGGACTCCTCTCCAGGATATCCAGGAAAAGGGAAGGGGATGGAGGCTGCCCTCACACCTCGCAGGGCCACACACTGCGACAATGACACACCCAGGACACACCCTCCCGCACCCCAGGAAAGCACACTCGGTGCCGCCCCCGGGGCTGCCTGGCACAGCCCGCCTCTCCCTGCTGTCCCTCTGGCCCCAGCACCGCGGACCCGGCCAGTGAATCCCGGCCCCGACGGGGAGGCAGGGGGTGGCGAGCGGGGACGGCTGGCCCCGAGCGCGAGCCGGTCCTAGCAGGACCCCTGCGCTGTCCCGGCGAGAACTCACCAAGATCGAGGCAGCGGAGCAAGATGGGAGCAGCGAGCGGGGCGGGCTGTGTCGCAGTCCCGCTGGCCTTATAGCGGCCGGCCGCATCCGGGAGGCCGGCTGGGGACAGCCCACCGCCCCACCCCGCCCCGCCCCAGCCCGCTCACACGGCACCGGGTCCCCTGGATGTCCACGCCCAGGGCTGTTCCGGGTAGGACGGGATTGAGAAAGCCTAGCAGCCGGACTAGGGTGTCTAGGGGAGACCACTGCAGGCCAGGTGACATCAGAGTTCCCCCCAGATTTTCATAGTTCACTTTGCCCTTCGTGGTCTATGACAGGGCATGGAGAGGGAGGTCCCGGGGAGGCGGTGGCCGCGGTCCTCCCTGCATCTTCCGCGGCCACCGGCCTGCCCAGTGCTTGAATGTGGTCCTAAAGTAGCGACCGTGTGGGGAGGGGGAGAGGGAGGGAGGATCTCACAAGAGACTGGTGTCCCCCACGCCCTCAGGGTGATCAGGGTCAATTTTAGAGGAGGGAGAGGGAGCAGCCAGGGGTGGCAAGATGATTCAAAGACTCTAGATCACCCGTCCCCACCAACAACAAATTCCTCTCAATATCAACACTCCACCCCCCCACCCCCACCCCTGGAATTCCACTCCCACAACCGTCTCACGTTGGACTGCACACCCGCCTGAGCCAAGTCCCGCCCCCTCCCCCCTCGCGTTAGTCATTCACTCTTGAGTGAAAAGTTTTCCAGATCCTCTCTTGAGAAAAAAATCTAGAGGGGGGGGGGAGGCAGAGGGAGAAGAAAGCACTGGTCCCCAGAGACAATTGGGGCAGGGGAAGAATGCTTCTGAGAGGGGATGCAGCAGCAGAGGGAAAGGGCTGCAGCAGAGCCACACTGCCCCCTGAGCTAGCCACAAGCCAGAACTGATTGTCATCACTGCCTTCTGAGCCACACCCAGCGCTCCGGCCTCTTCACTCTCAAAGTGCTTTCTCTGTGAGTTTCCTCTGCTTTTCTGCAGCCTGCAGAGAGCATGCAAAAGCCTCCGTGTTTTTCAGGAGGGCAAAACTAAGCCAGGACAAGCTCCATGACAGCAAGTGGGGTGGGCGCTCAGGACCCTAACACCCAGAAACTGTCTCCACTCACTAACGGAGGACAGCTACGTGCCCTTTCCCACCCACACCAGAGGGGACGAGACACCTTCAAGAACAGCCTCCAGACACTTGAGATGGAAAATCTTTATTGCCTCTGCTGGAAGAGTCTATCAGGAAGGAAGAGGAGGCTCAGGGGCCAAAGAGGGCTGTCAAAGGAGCTAGAGAGGTCAACAGCTGCGGCAAACAGAGAGGGCAGAGGGGAGTCCCCGTCATTGGTTGTCCTCCAGGAAGAAGTCATTGTAGGCCATGCACAGCGTGGTCAGGAACACCGAGTACTCCTTGAAGTCAATCTCCTGGTCGCTGTTTTTATCCAGGCTCTTCATCAGGTCGTCGATGCTGCTCTCCTTCATCTTCTGCAAGGGTCCAGGTGGAGGGACAGCTCAGAAACCCCTCCCCGTCCTGCTCCACTATGCAAGGCACCCTCAGTGTGATCCCCAGCTAAGTCAGCACCCCTGTATGCATGCTGATCCCCAGAATCTCCCCCCGCCAGCCCACACCTGGCTCAGGGCCTGGCCCCCCAGTAGGGATCAGTGACCTGACTCCTGACTCCAAATAAATTACAATAGGAAAGTTAGCCTAGTCTCTCCCTCCTCTACACCTTCCCCTGTTAGAGAAGTGATGACCTAAGGCTGGGGATGTGGTTTAGTGGTAAAGCTCTTGCCTAACATGTTTGAGGGCCTGGGTTTGATCCCCAGGATTGCAAAAAATAAAAGCAAAGGACTAGCCAGACATGGTGGCACAAGCCTGTAATCCCAGCTACCTAGACTCTGAGACCAGAGGATCACAAGTTTGAGGCTAGCCTGGGCAACCTAGCAAGACCACGTCTTAAAATAAAAAGGGGCTGGGAATGTAGCTCAGTCATATAGCACCCCATGTTCAATCCCTGCTAATGCAAAAATCATGATCGTCCTCCACATGCTAATACCTAATAAAAAACAGCTTAAGGATCATGTGACACTGAGCATCATCTAAATCTCAGACTTATTCTGTCCTGTTTGTTTGTTTGTTTGTTTGTTTTTGCCATGCTGGGGATTGAACCTACGTGGGCTGTTCCACTGAGTGGCTGTTCCACTTTTTATTTTCAGACAGGACCTCACTGGGTTGTGCAGGTTGGCCTCCAACTCGGGATCCTCCTGCCTCAGACTCCTGAGTTGCTGGGATTCCAGGTGCACCCCTGGCAGTAGTCTGTCTCCATGAGAACAGTACATGGAAGCTGAGAAGCCATTCTGTGCCTTCCCCGGGGGAGAGCTGGACTGAAGCTCAGCCTAGCATTGGGTTGTGCTGTCTGTCTGGTCCCCTGTCCTCTCACCCTGCTTCCACCAGAAGGGTGGAGACAGAGCCCTCGGGATGGACCAGGAGGGAACCACAGACAGGCAGATGCTGCCTTCCCCCGTCTTTGCCCTCAGCTCCAGATCCTCTGAGGATCCAGGATGCCGGCACATGTGGAGATGGAAACTACCTCTTTGCAACAGGGTCCTGGTTCTTCTCTGGGCTCCTGTGATAGCTAGGCCCTCCCCTGGGACTCTGTCCCCCAGTAACTAACCCCTGATGAGCTGGTAGCCCCTGCCTCTGCCCTCGTCAACTCCAGAACGGTGAGATCCAGGCAGGAAGGGCTGAGAGCAGACTGGGGACACCGTTCCTGCTGCCTCTTCTGCCCATGGGGGCACCGCTCTAGGGAACTTCTCTCTGGGGCCCTCCAGAGTTCAGGATGTGACAGAAGGATGTGTCTCCTTCCTACCCTGTGTTCCCCAGCCTCCAGGCCAAATTGTAAAGGAAAAGGGGAGGGTAATGCACAGGACTGCCCTGGAACTGCAGCTCAGCCTCTCTCTGGACAAATTCCATGTAAGTTTCTAAGCCTTGATGTTTTTATTCCTCCCCTGCGTGGTACTGGGGGTCAAACCCCAGGGATGCCCGACCACCAAATTACATCCCCAGCCCTTTTTATTCTTTATTTTGAGACAGGGTCTCACTGAGTTGCCCAAGTTGGTCTTGAACTTGTGGTCTTCCTGCCTCGACCTCCTAAATCTCTGGGATTACTGACATTGCGCCACCGCAACCAGCCTGAGCCTTGATTTTTTTTTTTTAACTGTAAAAATAAGATGATGTCTACTCGTGGGCCTTCCCCTCTGTCAGTCACCTCCCTTCTACCTTCTCCATCTGATAATAATCAGCTCTGTCTCCTTCCTACCCTGGGTTCACAAATTAACCCTTAATCTGCAGGTCAGCACTATCTGAGAGCCATGGCTCTGCCAGGCACAGCACACAGAATCAGGCAGGGTCCCCCCTTGACCTAGATACCTGGCACTTTCACCCTGAAGGATTCCTAGCACAGGCTCCGCCACTTCTGTCACAGCCTGGCCCCACCATCAAGAAAGCATCCAGGGCTGGGGCTGGGGCTCAGTGGTGGAGCGCTTGCCTTGCATGCATGAGGCACTGCGTTCCATCGCCAGCACCACATAAAAAGCTAAATAAACAAAATAAAGGTATTGTGTCCATCTACATCTAAAAATGTTTAAAAAAGAAAAGAAAAGAAAGTATCTGCCTCTGATTTTATAGCCCTTGCGCAGGCTTGCGGTGTAGCCCAGGCTCAGCCCTTCTCCTTCGCAGCAAGCCTGACTCATGCCCAGCACAGAGATCTAGAACTCTGTTAGCTTGAGAAGTCCACCCTCTTCCTTCTGTCTCTGGCCGTACCTTCCAGCCATCCCCACCCCTGGCTTAGACCTGAGTCCCCCAAGGGCAGATTTGTGACTTTGTTCGGGGGGGTGAGAAGAAATGGCCACCTACCTCCCCAAGACTCAGCTCCTTCTTGATCAACTCCTTTAGTTCCTTCCTACTCAGGGTCAGCTTGCTACCCTCTCTCCCCGAATATTTGTGGAATGTGGTGACCATAGTGGTCAGGGCCTTCTCAAGTGGAGTCTCCATCACAGTGTGCAGCTCTAGAGTGGAGAGAGGAGAAGTCATAGTGCTCAGGAAGCCAGACCTCTGTCCACCATCATCACTAGCCCACCCAGAGCCCCTCCCTCAAAGGATTGGGGACTGGAACCTATGATAAGACCCAAATCCAGCAACAGAAGGACATTACAGTGAGACTGGCCAGCCCCCAAAGGAACTGTAGACTCCTCCACTAGGGAGATGTTGACAAAGGGGGCTAGGGGCAGAAAGAGGACAGATGACCTCCCCAAAAGAGCTAGTCACAGATAGTAGAGCAGAGAAGGGGCCAAGGTTTCTTCTCTGCCCTGTCCAGCCTGAGCCCTGGTTTTACCTCCTCTCCTCCAGCACCTGAATCACCTGATATCAAGGAAGGTCTTGCTGTAAAGTAGGGGACAGGGCAACGGGTGTCCGAGGGTAGGAGGGGTTGGGGCTGAAAGCTCATAACAGGAAGCAGGAAAGAGGTGACTGGACTTGCCTGTCTGACCTCCAGGCTCAGGCCAGTGACTTGTACCCAGGAGGCATGGAGGACAGAGGACTATTGACGTCTAACTCCAGGGTCTTTCTGAGACCTGGACCAGAGGTGGGGTTGGAATGGGGGCCTCAATGCTGTCAGCACAGCCACCCCTCCAAGGTAGCTAGAGCCTCTGCAGCTCAGACTCAAAACCACTTCCCCTCAGGGAAGGAGGAGGCCCTACCCAGGGAACTTGAGCAATGCAGGCCGACCTGGCCAGGAGGAGGAATGTCTGGCTCTTGCTTCCAGCCCGAAGCCCACCCGTCAGTCCTTGAGCTGGACACATCATTCATCTCCCACCTCCCCAAATCCTCATCTTTTCCCCCCTCTCCGGGAGGCTCAGCCAGGACATGATTGCAGTCACAAGTGCCAGCACTCTGCCCTCTCCTCCCGGAGCACACACCCTCTTGCACAGCCGGGCCTTCCTTGAGGAGGTCTCCGTGGCTGGTCACCCTGCGACCTCGTCACCCAGCTCAGGCCAGCAGAGGTGAACAGAGAGATCAGAAGGAGGGACTCACCAAGGAGGGCACGAACCCGAGGAGTGCAAGCAGCAGCCGCCACCTCCCTCCCCGGTTCTCTGCCTTTATTCCCTGGCTCCCAGTGCCCAGGGGATCAGGGAGAAAAGGCCAAGGAGGAGGGGTCAGGGACGCGAGGACACCCAGCAGAGCCTCCTGGGACTCGACTGGGGAGAAGCCCCTGCTGCACATTTGCCTTCCTTGTTTACAGGTGGGGGGCAGGGAGGGGGCACACATATCTACAGTTCCAGAAACGTCATTTTTCTAACCCAAAACCAGAACTCATCATCTGATAGAGCAATAGGCAGAAGAAGGGAAGTCAGGCTGTTTTGGAAAGAGAAGCCTAGAAGGAAGGAGCCAAATAAAAGGTATCTCCCCAAGGCCGAGGGCAACGCTCCACATTGGAACCCGCCCTACCACCCTCTCCAAGAGCAGAGGAGACACCTGGAGATCCCTGACTGTCAGTGGAGGAGGTATTTCCTATAAGTCAGGATCATTAGCTAGCACGGAGCCAAAGATTTTGTTTGTTTTGTTTTCTTGTTTTTTTTGTACTGGAAATTGAACTTAGGGTGCTTCACCACTGAGCTACATCCCCAGTCTTTTTTTATTTTGAGATTCTTGCTAAGTTGCCCAGGCTGGCCTCCAAATTGCAATCCTCCTACCTCAGCCTCCCAAGTTGCTGAGATTACAGGCATGTGCCATTGTTCCCAATAAGCCAAAAGTTTTTAAAGGGCTCTTAAATGAATGATTTTTTTTTTTTTTAAACTTCACTAAGAAATTCTTCATGGGAAAGAATTGTTGGAGACGCTGGGCAAGGAGGACTGAGAATCAGGGATTGGGGAGTGGATCCAGGGAAAGGTTAGCACTGTGTGATGACGTAGAGGCTGCGGCTAGGAGAAGGGGTCCAGGTTCAGGGTGCAGTCATGGATGGGGTGAATGTCAGGGAGGGTTTACTCACAGGATGCAATACCACCAGGCCAACTGATTGTAACAGAACGGGCGAGGGGCTCAGGCCCCACCACTGCTACAGTCCTACCCTGGCCTGCCTGGATCTTCCTGCTGCCCCTACACCACCCCAGCCCCGGCTGCAAGGCTAGTAAGGCAGCAGGGACCCGTTGCTCAGCAACCAGAGTTTCCCGAAGTAGAAAATGATGCAGGAGGAGGCTCAGGGGAGGGCCTCCCAGGAAAGATGGCAGATTGACCCGGAGAGAGCAGGGGAGGAGGCGGTTTTTCCTGGACCAGCCTCTGTCGTCAAATTCCAGGGGAATATCTGAGTCACCTGCCACACTCCTCTGAGGCCGGAGAGAAAGGCCCAGAGTGATTAGAAGGGAAGCCTTAGAGGTCAAGAGGACCCAACCCTGCAGCCTCTGGGCTGGACTTCTATGCACCCCTTCCTTAAAGGTCCCCGTATCATCCAGAAATAGCTTTGAAATCTAACTTCAGTCTCACTCACTGTACCCCCAAGTCACTAGCCTTTAGCCTACCCTAAGGGAAAGCAACAGCAGACCTCTTTGGGGGCAGGGGATCTCAATTTCATTCATCAGATCATCTGTCTGGGATTTTATCTCTAAAGCTATGGTCATTTCCCCATCATCTCCCTCACTCCTACCCCCTCACTATCCCTCCCTTGGCCCTTCTGAGGCCCCTTGTCCATCTGTGAAGGAGCCTGATAACAGATCCCCCCCCCCTGACACTCTGGGGGCAGATACAGTGGATTGGAGCACTATCATATTCTCATGCCACTGCTGACCGTCTCCCTCCACATGGCCCTCCCTGATCCAGCCATTGACGGGAAAGGGACAGAAGTAATCCTTCCCTGTGGTTCAGAACCAATGAGCTAGAAGGGTAATAGAACAGGGCCAGGAGCCCGTCCCAGCCCACTCACCCCACAACTCCCTCCCTGTGACTCAGCCCTATTATCTTCCCTCCAGACCCCAACCAGGAGCAGATGTGACCTTCAATCCCAGCCTCAGTATGAAGTTGGAGGGTGGGGGGCTGGCTAAGATCCCACAGCTGGGGCTTCCCCAACCTCTGGTGGCCCCTCTCCCTGCCTCAGCTCTACCCAGCATTCACACACGCGCACACACACCCCTCTGTCACCCCACATTCCCCCCCCCAACGTCACTAAACTGCAGCTCAACTCCCAGTGCTCCCCTCCCCCACCCCACGCAACATATCCCTCGGCCTCGAGAGTCCCTCAGATCATCAGCCTTATAGCTTCCAAATACTTTTTTATTGAACTTGCTCAGGGTTCTGCACCACGGCATGAACTCATCTGCCGACCTGGAAGACCTCTTTGGCAGACCTCTACCCTCAGCTGCATCGGAGGAACCTCTACTTCTTCCGGGGCTGCTTATCAGGGAAGCCTTCAAAGAATTCGTTGCACATCATGGCGATGCAGGACAGGAAGACGCAGTACTCCTGGAAGTCCACCTCGTTGTCCCTGTTGCTGTCCAAGTTGCTCATCAGTTTCTGGAATGCAGCTTCGTCTGTCCTTTTCTGGAGGGAGAGAAGGCTACGGTAGAAAACAGGAGCCCAGGGAACACAGCCAAGACTAGACCAGCTTTCCACCTCCAGACTGGGGTGGGGGGGGGGGTCCTGGGGGAGGGATTCTGAGTATCTGTTGTAACTGGGAAATGAAGATTGTTCCAATGATTCCATCAGATGATGGTCCTGAGAGCAATGTGTTTGCAGGAGAAGTCTGTAGGTGTGTGTGTGTCTCCATAATCATGCCTTCACAAACAGAACACCGTTCATTGTCGGGTGGCAGGAGTCGGACAGTCCTGGTTCTAGATCACATTTTTTTTTTGTACTGGAGAATCCAGGGATGCTCTACCACTGAGATACATCCCCAGACCTCTCTCTTGTTTGAAATATTTTTTTTAGTTGTTGATGGACCTTTATTTAATCAATTTATTTATATGTGGTGCTGCTAGACCGCTTTATATTTTTAAGCCAGAGTCTCCCTAAGTTGACCTTCCTGCCTCGACCTCCCAAATCATTGGGATTATAGGTGTGCACCAGTCTGGGTTGCCACCTTGTAAGTAACTACCTTGAGAAGTCACTTACCTCTTTGAGACTTAGTTTTCCCTTCAGTAAATTGTGCAAAGTGTGTGCAGAGTCTGACCTGTCACCTGCTGACTCACTCCCGACCCTCTCCCTGCTGGGGACCACTGAGGTAGCCGGATGTTGACTGTGTTTCTAGGCCCCCATTTACCCAGCTTAGTGACAGGTGCCAGCTGGAGCTAATGCAGGGCGCCACCCCTCCTCCTGGGGAATGCCCCACAGGAGCCCATACTCCCAAGCAGGACCCACTCACCCCCAGGAAGCTGGGCAGCTCCCGGGTCAGGAGATCCTTTAGCTCTGCCTTGTTGAGCTTGAACTTGTCACCCTCTTTGCCAGAGTACTTGTGGAAGGTGGACACCATCACATCCAGGGCCTTCTCCAGGGGGCAAGCCATGGCAGCAGTCGGGACCTGGGGGCCGGAGGCATCTTACCCGGCAAACCTCAGCAATGTACCTAGACCCCCCACTCCACTCCCACTTCGAGGGGCACTTGGTGAGACTCTACTCCCACCCCCAAGGGACCCCGAAGAAGCGGGCTCAGCTCCTGGTGCAGAAGAGGTGCGCAGTGGGGAACACGTGCTTTGGGCAGTGGCTCTGGAGATCCAGGCAGCAAGCCCCTGGGCCTCCCTCCAGCCTGGCCTCAACAACAGCGTTTTTTCCAGCCCTCTGCCAGCCACAAGTGCCCCGCCCCGGCTCATTCTTCTCCCTCCCAGCATGGGCGCGGCTGCTGGAGGCCTGCCCAGGGGCCTGCAGCGGAAAAAACCAGCTGCCTACTGCCTAGTGCCCAGCACCCAGCACAGGGACAGGCAGGAAGAGGTGGCAGAGGTGGGGGTGCAGGGGAGGGGACGGAGGCCGAGTTCTCTTGGGCTGGGCTGCGGGGTGCAGGCAGAAGCAAAAGCCCACAGGTGCCTTCGCTTTGCCTCCCACACCCGAGTGTGCACACAAGAGCTTGTGCAACCCAGAAGACACAAGCCGGCGGGCCAATCATGGGGCACACGCACCAGACACACTGTGGCAGCAGCACATCCAAGCCCTGGCCCCTCAGAAGCTCTCTGAGAGCTGGAATCCAGCCACCTACACCTGTTTTCGTTTTTTCACTCTCTCACACACACTTGTGCACACACGCCCACGCGCGCGCACACGTGTGCACGCACACCAGAGCCTCCACATCAGAATCTCACATCTGGATCCATTTAGTACATCTGCCCCCCCACACTCTCCCCTTCTCCTACCCCAGCCTCGGCCTCGGACACCCCTTGCCTGCGGGTCAGGCCACACAACTCACCAGACCAAGAGAGAGGAAATGCTGGGGAGAGCTGTGGGGAGAGCCCAGCAGTCTGACCTATTTATACCCAGCCAGGCCCTGCCCATGCAGGGGATGGGGGAGAGCGGAAACTGCCCTCCTGCTGTGGTAAGTGCCACAGCCCCCTCCACCAGGGCGGGAGCCAAGCTTCCCCTCCCCGAGGCGCAGATGGGCACGGGATACACGGGCAGGGACCTCCAGAGGGTGGGTACCACCCAGTGTCCACAACTTAGCCTGAGTGTCAGGGGGTTGAAGACAGGGCAGTCTGTGCCGAAGTGTGGGGACAGGGAGGGAGTAGCCCACCAGATAGGAAAGGAGAAGCCATTCCCACACGGTGACAGGTGGGTGGCGGCCCAGGAACTTGGGAGGGGAGCCCAGGCCAGTGTGGTGGGACGGCTTAGTAAGCTCTTCTTCCCTCCCCAACCATGATGGCGGTGGTGTAGTGTGGGGGAGCAGGTCCAGGAGGGGATGGGACACCCCAGGTATTTCCATGGGAACGCTCCTGGGGGAGGTGTGGTGGAGTGGTGGGTGGGAGTGAGCTGTGGGACTCAGGAATGGATGCAGTGTTCAGAGAAGGGGTCAGGAGGGGCCGTTAAAGATTGGGATGGGTGTCAGGAATAAAGAAGCCAGGTGGCAAGGGGAGCTAGTGGTTGGCAAGAAACGGGTTAACCTCTCAAGGTACGGCAGGCAGGAGCTCAGGATTGAATAGGACCAGTAGTGGGCATTAAGGCCCCCAGGGGACTATGGTTTCAGGGGTGGGGTTTGTCTCAAAATACCCCCCTCCCATACAGAGAAGCTTCCCTGGCTGGGAGCAAACACCTCGGACACCCTAATCCTATTAGTGCTGCCCTCTGGGCTCCCACAGCCCCACCCCACCCCCTGGGCCCCACCCTCCTCCTGGGAACATCCGGCCATAAGGGTTCAGTTTCCCCCCCTGCACCCCCCCCAGGACCCTCCCTTTTTGATAGCCCAAGACAGGGGGGCTTCTCCCTCAAAGACGAGGCAGAGGGACTCCCCAGGGTCCCCTGGATGGGAGTGACCGCCCCCCTCCTGCTGGACCATTGAGATTGGTGCATCTGCAGCCGTTGAAACTGCCCTCAGGGCCCGTGGGGAGCTCCAACTCCGGCCCTCAGCCTCCTTCCTCCAGTGGAAAAGTCCAGAGAGGAGCAAAGAGCTCAGCAGCACTCTGTCCCAAGGCCCAGCATGTCCTCTCAGAAGAATCAACCGACCAGGCTGACACCAGTGCTTTATTAGGGTTAGACAGGCCCTTCCCTCCTGGCATCGTCTATGCACACCCTGCTGGGCCTGGCCTCAGAGCCCACCCCTCCCGTCCACAGCAGGGAGGCAGCGGGGGTTGATAGCTGCCCCCCCCACCTCGCCAGCTGGGCATCTGGGCATCCTGGGAAGGTCTCTGAGCCTTGCGGGTAAAATGGGTGAACCTGGGCAATTCCAGATTGAAAGAGTGACAGGAGGAAGGACAGGCAGGGCGTGGGAGACTGCCCATGGCCAGCCCCGGGGCGGGGAGGCTACTCAGCACAGGGGGGCTCTGGGCGGCAGTCCTTGAAGTACTCGTGGCAGTAGAGACAGAGGCAGGCCAGCGAGCGCACGTACTCGGCGAAGTCCACCTCGCAGTCCTTGTTGGTGTCCAGGACACTCATGAATTTATTGTAGTCGCACTCCCGAAACTCAGTCTGTGCCAGGGCGGGATGGGAAGGAATGGGCGAGCAGGATAAGGAAGGCAGAAGAGCCCCCCGCATTGCATCCCCTCCCCCCACAACCCACAGCCTCCTGGGGACCAACCTCAGCCTCCCTCTCCTGGTGTCCCCCTTTCTCAGCCGTTTACCCAGGGCCTGCCCTTCACTGTCAAGCGCCTCCCCAAACCCTGCAAAGTAGCAGCAGTGACTGTCACCCCATTTTATAGATGAGGAGACGGAGGCTTGTGCTGTGTCAGTTCCCCTCCTCCCCAAGCCTGTCCTCTGCCCGCTTGCTTGTCCACCGGTCCCTCTTTGCAAAGTTCAAGCAGAGCCTCTCTGCTGTCAGGGAAGGGCGGCAGCCCAGGGCTCACCGGGGCCCAGGTGGGCATCTCCTTCTGCAGCAGCTCCTTGAGCTCCGACTGACAGAGCTTGTACTTGTCCCCGCAGCGCCCTGCATATTCCTGGAAGGTGCACACGATGGCAGCTACTGCCTGCTCCAGGGGCCGCGTCATCCTCACTGTCACAGAGCAAGGATGTGAGCTGCAGCAAAGGCCAGCCAGCCCCTCTGCTCGCCTCTGCCCGCGGAACTTCCCAGGGACCCCCTCCTGGTGTTTCCCGGTCGTAATCTCCACCAGGCTTCAGGAGCCCCAAGCTCTCCCTCCTCTGAGCAGCCCTCCCTGACCACACTAGTTCCCTTCCGGCTGTCCCCATTGTGATTCTCCTGGACCCAGAGGTCTCACTTCCCAGCGTCAGTGCAAACTCCTCGAGGAGAGACTGACTCACCCACCACCCTCACCCCCACAGCGGAGCTCCCTGGGGTCTCCCTGACACTTGCCCACCTTCTCTGACCCACAACAGTCCCCTGCTCGGCGTCACCTGCTCCCACCCTAGAGGTCTCCGCCCCTCAGGACCCCAGAGTCCCTTCCTGAAGGAACCTGAGTAGGAGGTCCTTGCCCTCAGGCCCTCGGGAAGCAGAGCAAGGGCAGGGAGGGTCCAGTCTGAGAGGAACCCCCAGACCTGCTGCCTCCTGCCCTGAACTCAAGGAAACCGCAGTCAAGAGAAACCCTGGGAGCCTCTGCCCCTGCCGGCGAGCACCTGGGCGAGCCATTTCTCCCTCGGGTCTCCGAGGCCTTAAGGTGGGCTCAGTCCCACCCACAGGCCTAGCAGGGACATGAACCAGAAGGTCTCTGGGGAGTTGGCCCGCCCAGGGATTTACCAATCTGTGACCGGCCTTCCGTGGTGGAGGCCATCCCTCAGACCCCTGGGGGGCCTTGAGATAGAAGACCCAGTTCTGATGGAGGGGAAGCCATCCTGGCATTGCTCCCCTCCCTAAATCCCACTGCCCCCTTCCGTGCCCTTCCAGAAAGATTGCTGCAGCCCAGGGAAACCCTGGGCATCCAGGAAGACGAGTTGTTTCCACGTGAGCCCAGTGACTCACTCCTGCTTCCCCAGGGGACGGGATCCTGCAACACGGGACAGACAGGGCAATACTCTCTCCCCAGCCAGTCCCCTTCTGCTGGGGCAAATGGCCATCCTGATTGGCAGGGAAGTAGGGGGCTGGGGTGCCAAGCCTGCTGGGTCCTAATGCTCTGTGACAGCCCAGGGCTAGCGAGGTATCCATGTTCCCTGGAGAGGAAGCGCCATGGTCCCCGGGAGTCAGGAGCCTCAGAGGTGCACAGCATGCCCTTCTGGGCTCCCGCCAGTCTGCCTGGCACCACCTGTGCTACTGTTTCAGAAGCTCAGGGCCTGGAGCCTGGCAGGAATCTTTCCCTACAGCCCTGGCTTGTCCCAACCCATCCCGGGAATGAAGCAAGGGAGCAAGGAGCCAACTAAGGGCTCCACCAGAACTTCTAGCCCACTGCCCCCTCCTGGAGCCAGACCTCAGTTCTGCACACACACACACCCAGGCCTGAACCTCCAGAGAGCCCTTCGTGACACAAGAGAACCCTTGAACCACCATGTAGGACTTCCCTCACCCCATCACCCGTGTGGTCCTCTCTCTGCCCACCCCCATGCCCAGACGCTGGGTCAGGAGACAGGCTGGCTACCAGGGAGGCCCCTGAGCTACCCTAGCACCCGACCCCGGGAAGGACCAAGCGGCCACCACTCACCACAGGTGTTGGCGTTTCCGTTCCAGAAGCCTAGTGCCAGGGCATCCCTATTTGTAGCTTCCCGAGGAATGAGGGCAGTAATTATGGGAGTCCCAAGTAGGTCAATGCTCAGGCTGCCCCCAGGGGCTCACCTGCACGCTTCCCCCAGCAGTCCCCATTACAGGCCCACCGCCCACTGTCCACGCACACATCAAAGGCCCGCTCTGGCCTCAAACACCACTCCCCATTCACCCCTCTCCCGCCCCCGAGTGGGAACTGGGGCCGGCGACCTTCCAGCCATGGCTGGGCTAATCCCTCCCATCCCTCTCCCTGTCTCTTCACTCTGAAGAAGCACCCACAGCACAAAGTGGGGACACACGTTCGCCTCTTTTAGGTTGCACCCCAGAGCCTCCGTGCCAGGAGGCGCCTTGGCGACCATCGGGGGAAGCCCTCATCCACAAACGGGAAGAAAGGCCAAGGAGACCCCTCTTTGCCCGACCTCCACATCCCTTGCTGCTGCCTTGCTGGAGGCTGTGTGTGAACTGCTCGCTCCCCTGGGAGAGGTTACTGGGGGGTGTCCTGATGCCTAGGCAGAGGATGCTCCTCCTAGGGGGGCCTCCTGCGCCTGGGCTTGAGTTTTCTTGCCCTCCGCCCCAGGCGATGCGAAGGAACCTGGGCTTCAGACTCTGGAGAGCCACTTGGGCTGCGCCCCTGAAGAGTCGCTCTGCTCTGCTCAGCACTTGGGCAACTTTCCTTGCGGTCCTTAGCGGGGTGTGTAGGTTCCTCTGCCTTCTAGTTTAGGCACGTAGCCCTTTAGGGTTCCAGCATTATGTGGGGGTGTCTTTCAGTTGTGCTGCCTCCTCCGAGAACCCTGGGCTTCAGCTTCCCTCTTCCCAAATCCCCAAAGCCCAGATTTGGCTGGGCTTGGCCGACGCCTTCAGGGCATGAGGGGCCCGGTGCCCTGTTCACCTCCCGGATTCTGCTTTTGGCTTAGATTTTGACCTACTCGTTATTACTGCCTTGGCGAGTCTCTGAAAAAATAGATAATTTTAATTGTATCCAGAATTTCCTCTGTTGTTGTTGGTTTTTTTTTGGTTTTTTTTGTTTTGTTTTTGCTTTAGCAGAAATGACCAGATGCCCAGAAATGGAAAGCCTTTCACATCCGCATTGTGTTCTCCCTCTACCCCTAAGTTCCCTGTTTCACAGAAAGAGACTGAAGACCCAGGAGAGCAGCGTGGGGTGGGGAGGGGACAACCAGGACAGGGAAGACATCCTCATGCCCACAGAGGCAGCCCGAGAACTAACGACACCTTGACCTCACCCCGGGGGCCCAGCACCCAGCCTCACCCGGGTTGTCACCTCCGCGGCCTCCACCCGCCTGGAGACAGGGGCAGAAGGGAAGGAAAAGCTGTGATTAACCCTGTTTTATAGGCAGGGAGTTATGGGGAGCAGGGGAAGAGGGCAGAGACAGTCATGCCTCAGAAGCGGGAGCCACGTTGAGCCAATAATTAATTTGGTTCTAGGTCAATCACTTCTTCCCCCCTTAAGTGGGTCACTTCTGCTCCCGGGGCTTCCTCTGCCAATGATGGAGGACAATAGTAGTGACTACCACATAAGTTTGGTTGTGGGGCTTAAATGAGTTAATAAATACAATGCTCACGGAATAAATAGTTGCCCAGTACTTAGAAAGGGCCTATTAAACAAGAGGGGTTCATTGGCCCAAGGCCACATACCTAGTGAGTGGCAGGCTCAGGAGCCAGCCACTGTTCGTGTGAATATTCAGAGGCATCTGTACAGGCACCTGGCACCATGAACAAAAGGGATACAGTCCAGGGGCTGGGGTTGTGGCTCAGTGATTGATAGAGAGCTTGCCTAGCGCTGCTGAGGCCCTGGGTTTGATCCCTAGCACCACATAAAAAAAAAAAATAAATAAAATAAACAAAATAAAGGTATTGTGTCCATCTACAACTAAAAATATTTTTTTAAAAAGATACAGTCTCTGCTCCAGGGAGATGAATCTAGTCGGGGAAACAGACAATAACAAATGAATGTTTAATAGGCTGGTGACATAATGTCAAGAGGGAAAATAAAGCAGAGTTACGAGAAAGAAAATGGTATTGGTGAGAGGCTGCTTTAGATGGGTGGTCAGGGAAGAACCCCGGAGCCAGGCTCCCAAGTCCACGTGCTTATCTACCAGCCTTTAATGTTGCTGGATATGGCTGCCCTGCCCTGGGATAAGCAGCTGTGTTTGTCCCCTGGGAGAGCTGGGAGAGGCCAGGCAGATGGCAGAGGGGCAAGGAGCTCACTCTGGAAGGTGACTCCTGAGGGTGGGCTGGGTACAAACCCGTGGGAATTGGAGGACCATCATGGAAGGAACCCCTAGCCAGACCCTCACTCAGAGTTCCACCGCTCTCCACCAACTGACCTCAGCACGTGGGCCTTTACCTTTTTAGGGCACTACTTTCTTGGCCTCTGAAATAGATCTGGAAGATTTCTACCTTACAGATCTCATGTGAAGCTGGTCGTGGTCCAGCAAATTGGGAGGCGAAGGCAGGCAGACGGCAAGTTCAAGGCCAGCCTGGGCAACTTTGTGAGACTGACTCAAGGAAGAAAAAAGGGCCAGGTGCGGTGGCGCACAGCTCAGCTGTGATGCCAGTAGCTCAGGAGGCTGAGACAGGAGTCGTGAGTTCAAAGCCAGCCTCAGCCAGACCTTGTCTCAACATAAAAAAATAAAAAGAGCTGGGGATGTGGCTCAGTGGTAAAGAATCCCTGGGTTCAATCCCCAGGACCAACAGAGTGGGGGACTGGGGAATGTAGCTCCGTGGTAAAGTGACCCTGGGTTTGCTTCCCAGTGGAGAAAAGAAGAAGGGGGAGGACACGGAGAAGACCAAGAATCCAGTGTCAAAGGGCTTTGTTTCACTTGCTGTCACTGTGGGCCATGTGAGAGGTCTCGGGGTCCCCCGCCGATGCTGTCTGTCTGCGGTGCTTCCTAGAGCACTGTCCCCTGAACCCTTGTCCCCACTGTCAGTGCCATCATTTCACCAGGTTCCCTGGAAACTGCATCATCCACCTAAAGGTCACTGTCTGTCCTGTGCCTCAGGGGAAAATAAAATGAAGTGTCCTGAGCACCTGGGCAGTCCCCGCATTTGTGCCAAAAAGGCCTGAGCCCCGGGGACAGAGTGATCATTCCAATCCCATAGCCCCACGGGGCCAAAGAACCTTTCCCAAAGGCCTGACCTCCTTTCTCATCTCCTGAGCCAAGTATGGGGAAAGCATGGGGGGGATTGGATTACTGGAGATGGGGCTGGAGCCAGGCAGGACTCTCTACAGAACTCAGAAAAGAAGAACTGAGCTGGGATCCGGGAGTCTGAAGCTTAGACCTACCACTCTTTTTTGTTTTGTTTCTCCCCCCCACCCCCAGTACTTTTCCCCCCAGATATATCCCCAGTCATTTTTATTTATTTATTTATTTATTTATTTTTTAAATTTTGAGATCTTTTGAGAAGACAAGATCTTCTGAAGTTGCCCAGGCAGGTCTCCTCAAACTTTTGATCCTCCTGCCTCAGCCCCCTGAGTAGCTGGGATTACAGGTGGGTGCCACCACACCTGGATATCTGTCCTTTTTTTTTTTTTTTTGACTGCCAAGTCAACAGCTGACTACGTCCATTTCACAGTTCAATCACTTTTTCATGTCCGAGCTTGTAACTCAGAAAAAGCCTAAGTAAACCCTCTAACTCCACTTGCTCTTAATTAACTTTAAAAATTACTCATTTTTGCCAGGCATGGTGGCGCACGCCTATCATCCCAGCCATTTGGGAAGCTGAGGCAGGAGGATCACAAGTTCAAAGCCAGCCTCAGCAATTTAGTGAGACCCTGTCTCAAAATAAAAAGGCTCAGTGGTTAAGCACCCCTGGGTTTAATCCCCAGAACCAAAAAAAAAAAAAAAAAAGATCAATAATTTTGGAAGTGATGTAACTGAACAATACATTATGAGTCTCCCGCTAGCTTAGCTGCAGGTGACACTGTGTTATGTAGGTCATGGTGATAGCTGGGGTCTTTTCAAGGACTTACTGGTCACTTTTGCTAAAAATACTGACTTTTCACTTGCGGCTGTACAAGTGTCTGATCGGTGACTAAAACAGGATGGAAAAGTGTGACATCTCTGCTTCTTATTGCATCTGACTCCTGTGCCTTGACTTTTGGTTAAGATTTCCTCTTAAGACAGTAGAGTGAATCGACATCACTTTCCTATGTTCATATCGGAATACAAAACCAGTGAAACTCTACATCATGAACAACCCAAGAATGGAAAGTGATATTCCGTGTATGTTTGATATGTCAAAATACATTCCACTGTCATGAATAACTTTAAAAAAAAAAAAAGATTTCCTCTTTTTTTTTTTTTTTTCCCAATCTGACCATTGGGTCAGATTTTTGCTCAATTCCTCATATACACGTATTAGTCATTTAAGGAACATTTGTCTGGAACTAGTACAAGATTGATTTTCCCTAAATTTCCCTACTTTCTCTCCTCCCACTTTAAGGCTAAAGACACCAAGATAAAGATTTCCAAAACTGACAGGGGCATGGCGCCTTGTGATTACAGTATACACTGCAGCACCCCATTCCCGAGCTTGGAGTAGCACATGGCCAACTGTCCCTGATCCTTCCCAAAACCAAGTAGTCCCCTCCCCTTGCCTAAGGATAAAAGGAGCCTGAAACCCAGACTAAATTCGGATGGTTGGGTCTCGCCACCACCCCAGGGCACTAGCCCATCCTCTCCTCTTGCCGGTGTTCCCAGCCTCTTTTCCTTGTCCCAACAACTTGTAATCAAGAACTGAGCCCCTTTTTTGAGCAACTAGTAAACAGACTTGACTTAGGTAAGAAATCTACCTTTGCCTTCCATTTCCCTTTTCTTGGACTGTTAATGAACTGCCGGGGGTTAACCCAAAGGAGCAAAGGCCAGTAGGACATCACAGGAGGTAAGAGTCCCTAACTCTCCTCCCAACAGCAGTCCCACAGGGAAAGGGAGAGTCTGGCCAGCAGGTCTTCCTTCTCTCTGCCTCAGCACAGAGATTTGGAGACAGGGGGGAAGAAGAATGTTGAGAGTGGCTAGAAAAGTGCAGTTTGTCAGTTTGTCAAATACCCAAGAAGAATGGACATTAGCTTTCTTTGGGACATGCCCAGCTGGGGACAACTCCAGAGGTAGTCAGCTGAAGCCAGTTTCCACCAACCAAAGCAGTTCCAGAATCCAGGGCTGAGAAGCCAGGACCCACGGGGACCAGAAGTCCAAAAGAAATCAGACTGCAGGACCCAGCCACCAGGGAGTGGCCCTGTCCCCCTGTTAATCAGACTGGGAAGACCAGAAGCATCTGACCTCTGGCCAGCCAGGTCCCTTCAGCTCACGCAAAGCCCAGGCTCTGGACTGGCCTGCAGGAAGAGAGGAAGGCCCAGTGCCCCCCAGTGCCCCGAGGACATGCAGACTTTTCTTACAGACATGGCTCAAGTTCTTCTTTACCCTCTCTGGTCCATTTCCATATCATGGTGTGCAGAACCAACAGCACATTCCTTGTCCAGTCTTGGGAGGATCCTGGGTAGGCCCCGCAGAGCACCTGTTGAGAGGGGTGTTCCACAAACGGCTGATGCTGTGCCCCTCAGTTTCTGCATCTGTAAACAGGGCCTGGTGATAGTTCCCATGGGGTTGCCATGAGGCTGAGATGACAGGGTGCAGGAAGGAGCTCTGAGAAGTGCACAGAGACGCTGACCACCATCACGACTCCCCGCCCCGTGTCTACTCGCCCCTTCCCTGCAGGGTCTGAGGACAGTGGGCCTCTGTCTGTTTATGGCCTCAAAAAAGAGACCACTTGTCCTTGCAGGCCGGCCCAGCCTCGCCTCACCAGGCTCGGCGTGCAGTTAAGGACGAAGAGTAGGTGAGAGCCAGAGGGTCTCCAGCGCCTTCTCCTGGGTCCTTTCCGCCCTAGAGAACTGAACCTGAGCTACTCTGCACGTGGTTCCCAAGCAGCCGATTTCCCAGGGAAGGAAGAAAAATAAGAAGACCATTCAGAAAAATACTGCCTCTTATCTGTCCATTATTGGTCCCCCTCTCCCTTTTTCATTCAAGCCCATCCATGTTTTAGCCCTGCTCCGTGGCGCACACCCATAATCCCAGCTACTCAGAGAGGCTGAGGCAGGAGACTCACAAGTTGGAGACCAGCCTGTCTCAGAATTAAAAAAAAAAAAAAAAAAAAAAATTAAAGGGCTGGATATAGCCCAGTGGTAGAGTGCCCCCGGAAGATTCTGCTAGTACAAAAAACTAAAACAGGTGTCATTAGCTTCGGGACCAGGCCACGGGTGAAAGCTGGGAGGACCTTTGAAAGGCAGTTAGTTGCTAATAATTTGAATGACAGCCAAAAAAAAATTGTTCCTGCAGCTGGAGAAAAGGGAGACCCTGTTAGGTAGCGGTGAGATGTCTGGCAACACCATCATCTGGTGTTGATGGGGAATAGAAAAGGCACCTGATAACGTTTCTAGATCCCTGGCAAGAAGACTTTAGACAGAAGAGTGAAGTTGCCTGTCTGACTCTTCTGGCTGCCTTTGATTAAAAATGAGAAGAGAGAGCTGAAGTGAACAAGGACCTATTTTGTTTTTTAGCAGAATTTAGAGGAAATACTGAGGTCCCATTGGAGTTTTTCCAGCCAGCAAAAGTGTCTCAAAGTCAGAAAGGGTCTCAGGGCAAAGGTCAACTCCAGGGCTCTGCCTGTGAAGGGGTCTCAAGGTAAGACTGAAATCAAAGGTGAGGCCTTTTCGTGAGACCTCAGAAAGATTTAAGGGGAACTTCCTAAGTTTTCTCAAATAAAAAATACAGCTTCTAGTAATTTGATTTATTTATATTTTTATTTTATTTATTTACTTATTTGCAGTACTGTGGATTAAACCCAGGGGCTCCTTACCAGTAAGCTAGGTTCCCAGCCTTTTGAGACAGGGTCTGGCTAAATTGCCCAGGGTAGGCTTGAACGCTCCATCCTCCTGCCTCAGCCTCCCAAGTCACCAGGATTACAGGTTTACACCACTGCACCCACCGTTTTGGCTTCTAGTACTTTTAGAAGTGTGCCACTTGGACCGTTGCAGAGAAGGGCTTTTAAGGGTCTTAAGAACATTCTCTCACAGCACCCTGACACTCAGCCTAAGGTAAAAAGAGATCCGACTCAAAGAGATTTGTAGCTGTGGCTTTCATCTAATTATAAATTGGTGCACAGGGAGTCCACAATATTTTTAAAGGAATTGTATCATCTTGGAAAGAAAGGAACAGAGAAAACTCGAGAGAGAGAGAGTTTTGAGTCTCCAGCCTTTTATAGGGAAGAAATAGAGGGAGCTACTTACCTATAAAACAGACATTTCTCTCTCTTCTCATCCCCATCCCAAGTATTGAAGATGAACTCAGGGACACTCTACCACTGAGCCTATATTCACAGCCCTTTGTATTTTTTATTTTGAGACAGGGTCTTGCCCAATTACCCAAGCTGTCCTTGAACTTGGGATCCTCCTGCCTCAGCCTCTCCCCAAGTAGCCGGAATTACAGGTGTTCACCACCATGACCAGCCCAGACATTTCTTATGGAAAAAAAAGAGTTGACTCAGAACATGAAGCCAAGAGCCAGGATCCAAGAGAACCATGTATAGAGAGTAGCAAGCACTGGGCTCTATCAAGGAACTGATGACCTGTGTGTGACTCATTTCAGAACTGCATAAACCATGCCCAGCTAATCAGAACTTTCAAATGATCCACCCCAATTTCCAATACCAAGTGCATGAGACATCCTAAATGAGACCCATTAGCTAAACCCAGGCTAGCCACAGAACCATTAGAGACAACCAATTTGTGTTTTAAGGCACCATACAGTGGGTTGGTTCATTGTACATCGACAGGTAACCCATAAAGCATCTCTGAGCCACTGAGCCAAACATGACCTACCTATCCAGACTGCTTATTGTGTGAGGCATTAAAATGCTGATTTATTTATGACATTACTAGTCAGGCTCTCTGTATGTAAACTAAATACATCACTAACTGGTAGAGCATTTGGTAACTAAAAGTAGAATCTAGCAAGGAAAAGAACATAAAATGTGAAATTGGATAAAGACCACAAAGAAAACCATATGAAGACTGGAAGGTTGGTAACCCTTGTTATGACATGTCAAAGCGTCGGGTCAAAGTGTCACCTGATGTGCCTTAGGATGCAGAACCTGTGGCAACCTGGCCTATGGTTTTAGAGAAAATGGTAGGGGAACAAAAAGAATTTTGGCAGGAGCTAGCTCCCTAGGAGCTTTTAGCAGAGATCAACAGGGGAGGAATGAACTCAAAATAGAGCTAGCCAATCTGGAAGCAGATGTGAAAATAAGTATAGCTTTTATGAAAATAAGTACGCCGCCTAGGGCCTACAATCTGACAGAGAGTCCTCAAAAATGAATCTTGGCAGGGCTGCTTAGGCTAATTCATGTCTCCCACCAGCTTCTAGGCCTACTCCTTGCTCACGGTATTGAAGTCTGTCCTTTGTTCTGAGGTTAGACACTTCTGGGTTGGAACTGAACTTTTCTTTTTATGAGATGTTAGGAATGGTCAATGGTATTTGCCTTTTTAAAAAATATCTTTATTTGGCAAAATAAAATGTTGAAAAAATATTTTGATTCCCAGATTTTTATTGGTGTCTGAAATCTCAAAACGAGGGCCGAAGGCACAGCTCTGACCTGGAGAGTCAAGGTGCGGAACGGGGTGGGATAGGAAGCCCCCAGTTCCCAGCACTTTAACTGAACCAGCCAAGTGACCGGGCAGCACTGAGCAATGAGAGTATTATCAACAAATAAAAATCTTTATTGAGTACAAAATTAAAAGGGATAGAGAGTCCTCCTGAACCCAAGAGATTGGTGGCCCAAGTCCTGAGTTCGTCCTCAGGGCCGGTCTGGGTAGCCCTGGAAGAAGTCATTGCACATGATGGAAATGAGGGCCAAGAAAACAGCATACTCCTGGAAGTCCACCTGCTGGTCGCTGTTCTCATCGAGGTTGCCCATCAGCTTCTTCAGCCCCTCCTCATCCACCTTCTCCTGAAAGCAGGAAGGACTGGGGTCATGGCCAGGCTGGCTCCTGCCCCACTCCGCACCAAAGCCACAGCCAGAACCATGCCCCCAAGCCAGGGCCCAGCGCTCCCTCCACTGGCTGCCAGGTACGTGGTGGGCAGGGAGACCCCGCAAGCTACAACACGCATCCAGTGAGCCAGACAGCTGGACCCTCTTGGTGAAGGTCTCCCACACACCCTCCTGGGGGTAGGGGGATGCTGGACACACCTCTAAGTGCCCATCGGCTCTAACCCCCACTGTAGCCCAACCAGGTGGATATCATGACCCCATTTTGCTAAGAGGACACAGGCTTTCTGCTCCCCCAAATCAGCATGGGATTCAGAAAAAGCAAATGCTCTTTATACAACCAAAATGATTCGGAAATTGAAGGAAGGGAGGAAGGGACGGACGGAGGGAGAGAGGGAGGGAGGACGGAAGGACAGACCTGCCTCATATGGTCAAAGCCGGAGACCTGACTTTACCGTTAGTCAGTACCAGGGCAGCAATGGGGAAATGACTGCATTTCTCTGCAAAATGTCCCAGAGTGCATGTCTTTGCTGCGTTATTCTGTCTACATGCCCTCTTGGTTTGGCACGTAAATATGGAAAATAAGAGAAGAGGAGAGTACACAGGCTAGCTGTGTGATCTTGGGCCAGTCACTTTCCCTCTCTGGGCTTTGAGTTGCTCAACTCTCCAGTGAAGAGGATTGACAGATGGACTCTGAGGGTCCCAACAGCACACAGTTCTCAAGAATGCTGCAGGGGACAGCCATAAACAGAATGCTCACACCCGGGCCTTGTTCCCACTCCAGTGAAACCAAGAAGCCAAAGTCGTGGTGGGAACCCTCGACCCCACCCTGGCCTCTGCATCAGCAGGCACCACAGGAGTGAAGAGGCAGAGACTTACCCTGCACCCCGCCCCGCGCCCCCACGACCCAACCCACCCTCCCAGCCTGCCCCCCTCACCCCTACGAAGCTAGGCAGCTCCTTCTGCAGAAGTTCCTTCATCTCCCCTTTACTCAGCTTGAACTTGTCTCCCTCTTGGCCAGAGTACTTGTGGAAGGTAGCGACCATCACCTCCAGCACCTGCTCCAGGGGACTGGACATCTTGGACCTGGGGCGGTAGAAGTAGCAATGATGTTGATGTCACCGAGACACCTGGGGCCACAGCCCAGCCAGCAGGAGCCACTTCTGCCCTGGGCCCCCCCCCCCTACTTCACCAAGCCCCTCTGTAAGTGGGGGCCCCATCTCGCCCTCACAATGTGGCTCCCGTGGGCAAGGGTCGTGCCGACAACTGGCATGAGGGCAGATGCTGAACCTTCCCCGTGTCCCCCAAGGGCACAGTCACACTAGGAACACCTCTGAGGGCAGGGCTCCCCCTCTTGAGTGTCTTGGGAAGGGAACTAACAGGGTGACCAGAGCCGTGCCAAGCTCCGGGGAGCACAGGTGTGCACAGGGCTGGCCGGTGGCTCCCTGCACCACCGGGCAATAGCCATGGCTCCCGGAAGTCTGAGGCTCCCTCCAGGGGTCTCTTCTGCCTTGGGCCAGGGCTGCCAACTGCCTGGGAGCCTCTGTGGCAGGGATATTGCCTCCCTCTGACCAGGGGCTCTCGGAGACGAGGACGTGTCTCCTTGCTCACCCGAGACCCTCAGTCCTGGAGCGCTGTGTGTGCTGGCAAGACACGGGCAGGGCAGGGGCCACCGAATGCCCCCACCATGAAGGACCTTGCTGGGATTAGAATTAAAGAAACTAAACATTTCGTGCCTTGGGATCCAGGTAGAATCTGGGGTCACAAGGATGGACCTCAGAGGGCATTTTCCATTTGCCACTGAGAATGCTGAGGTCAGCCTGCAAAGTCAGGCAGGTCCCAGCGCAAGGCCAGAGGAGCTGTCCTGGAGGCAGGGAAAGCCCTGGCCCCGCGGCCAGCCCCGCCCGCCAGCCTGCCCTCACCTAGGTGAGGGACCATGGGGAGCAGCCAGCCGGGCAGAGCGATGCCGCTGTTCCAGGCCAGAACCCGGGGTGGGGCCATGTGTCGGAGACCCCTGCTTCTTGTTCCTCAGCCTTACGAAGGATTAGCCAGGACTTTGCAAAAACAAAACCAACTCAGAATTCTCGTTAAAGCACCCCTCACACACATATCAGCTGCCCTTGGGCTAGACCCCCGAAGAAGGACTCCTACAGAATAACAGGCCCCGACCAGGAGACCCGAGGGAAGGCCTCGGATAACCCCCAAACTGAGACCTCCCGGAAGAACCTGGAGAAAGACCCCTCAATCTGACTCACAGAGGGTCCCCCCAAGTGGCTCAAGGCCAATCCCACCGAGGAAATCAGACAGAGAGCTATGGACACAAGGGTCGAGTCGGAGACGTACTCACCAGATGGGGTGGCAGAGACCCAGGAGGGAACAAAGCGCCAGGCACTCGGGAAGGGGTTTATATGTCAGTCCCACAGCCTCAGACTTAGCGCGTTCAGGAAACAGAACCTGTTCTGGCCTGACTGCCCCACAGCCTGGCCTCCTGCCACCCCACTCACCCTGTGCTGCCCCCTTCCTCCCAGAGATTGCTGGGTCCTCCACCAGCTGGAGGAGGGCCCCCCCGCCAGCTAAGGGCAGCCCCTGAGCCCACCCAGGGCAGGGCAGCTAGAGGGAGATGTCATGGGAAAGGGGCAACATGGGTCAGGGGTCAGAGGCTGCTCGGCCTGGTTCTCATGATGTGCCTGTGAGTCACAGCTCGCTCAGCCGCCTTGGTGACCCAGAGTAGGCGGGAAATTCGCAGCCCCAAGGTCATGTGCATGCATGTGTGTGCATGTTTATGTGTGTGTGTGTGTGAGCATGTGTGAGAGAGAAGCCGACCAGCGCTGCCCTTAGAAAGCTGGGGACCAGAGAAGGCATCTGGGCGGCATCAAGAGGAGGAGGTCAATGCTGACTTCAAGAAGTGAAAGAAATAAATTTTTGTTTGTTTGTTTGTTTGTTTGGTACCAAGGATTGAACCCAGGTGCACTTGACCACTGAGCCACATCCCCAGACCTTTCCATTTTGAGACAGGGTCTTGCTAAGTTGCTTAGGGCCTCACTGAATGGCTGAGGCTGGCTTTGAACTTGCAATCCTCCTGCCTCAGCCTCCTGAGCCACTGGGATTACAGGCGTGAGCCACCGCACCCCACCTAAAATTACTTCTAATGTAACTTTAAGGTAACAAAGTGATTGGGTGCGATTAAAAATACCTCACAGTGAGAAATGGGGATTGCTGTGCATGCAGCCTCAGTTAAAGTGGAGCAAACATCTGTGTGGAGCACAAGGGAGCCCCCTGGAGGGGTCCAGGCAGAACAGGAAAACCCTAGGCTCCTCTTCTCCAGCTTGGAGAGGTGGGGGAGTGGGTGGGGAAGACAACCCTACCTGAAGCTGGAAAGAGGGAGTTGGGTAGTGTCCCCAGCCAGGAGGCCAGGCCTGAAGCAGAGGCCCAGCCACATCCTCCCTCACCACCCCCAACTCCCCGCCTGCCCTCTCCAAGCCCAGAGAAGGGTGAGCACTGTGGCCTTCAAGCCAGCCCAGGGGAGAGGTTTTTAGGAAAGATTCAGCTTCACACCACCCCTCCCAGGGCACCCACCTCCTGCACTCTGTGTACCCTAAACCTAGTTGGGCACCGCCCTTCCTGTCGGCCTAGCTCCCCTCCCCACTCCAGATGTCGAACAGATTTTCCCTTCCCCCAACCCCCCAACCCCCCCCCTTGGTGACTCACCCGTGGTTCCAGACCCAGATGCCCAGGCAGTGACTCAGCGGCACGCCCTACTCCCCCAGCGCCAGGGCAGCAGCGGCCGGAAAACCCGGGCCAAAGTACTGGCATGGAGACCCTCCACTGAAGGACCCAGGTCTAGATATGGATGGTGGCACCGCACAGCCAGAGCAGACCAGAGCAGAGAGGTCAGACCCGAGCCGGGCTCGTCCTTCCTGGGGGCCACTGTGAGACTTAGGGGTCAAGGGGAGCAGGGAGATGAAGTGGGTTAGGATGAGGGCAAATGGGACGTGGTGCACAGCCATTGTTCCATCTCATGGGGGCTTCAGAGGGTCCCTCCCTACTCAAACTGCACCGGCTCTTCCATAGGGCCAGCAGCGAGGTGCTCCACACTCCGGTCCCCCCTGCTTTCCCACCTCCCTGATGATGCCCAGCTGCCTTGCTCACTGAGCACGTCCAGGGCTGGACACACCTGCCGTGACCCAGACCCTTGGCTGATGACATCGCTTTGCTCAGAATGTACCCCCACACACACCCACATTACGTCCCCTTCTGCCAAGATCCCTTCTCCCCTTCACAGAGCCTTCCCAGGCCCAGCCAGATTCGGTTTCCACCTGTTCTGTCCCACACAGAGCCTTCGGGAGCACTCCCAGCTACACCGAGTCTTTTGTGTACCTGTTTTCTTTTGCCCTCCACGCTCATGGTGAGCTCACCAAGCAGGGCCTGGGCCTGATTCATTTCTGCATGAGCCAAGGGTCTCACCCACACCAGGTGCTAAGCAGGTGTTTACGACCGCTGAATGGCAATGAGGGTCACTGGGGGGTGGCATCTAGGAGCCAGGAGGTCAGGGAGTTGTTCTCACCACCTGAGGTCACACCACTGATGACACTAGCAAATAATAACGTCTCCTCTGGGTCCCAGGAGTGGAACTGAGGCATCAGGCTGGAAAATAGAGCTTCAGAGAGCTACAACCCCCTGAGGAGTGACCACAGGAAACGTCCCATCACGGGGACCAGCTGAGGAGCACAGCAAACTCCCTGGTGGGGCGGGATGGGGACAGGAGGCTACAGAGAGAGACAAAGAGGCAGTCATGGAAAAAGAGAGAAAGAGAGAGGGTAAGGAGGGGAATGAACCTAGGGATGCTTAACCACTCAGCCACATCCCCAGTCCTTTTACATTTTTATTTTGAGACAGAGTCTTGCTGAGGGGTTGAGGCTGGCCTCATATACAGGTCCCTTCCAGTGGGAAAGAGAAGTTGGGGGAAAGGCCAAACAAAACGGAATGGGGCCGGAGTGACTGGTTTGGAACCAGAAGGGGGAGGGGGCTATCAGGAGTCCCTGCATGGGGAGCCTTGTCCATAGCCGGGTGTCTCCCCTCAGGAACTGAAGCCAGAATTGTGCCCACCCAATGGCGATGCTTTGCGTCTGTGAAAATCAGACTCACTTGCCACCAGCTTGCTGTGTGACCTCAAGCAATCGTTCCCCCACGGCGGGACAGGTCTGTTGGATGAATGAGAGGCCTGAGCCTGATCCTGTTCCAACATTCTCCACTTCTCTGCAGGCAGAGAAGCAGGACACAGGCAGGCAGCGGGGATGCCCAGGGCAAGGATGCCCAGCTGGAGAAACTGGACCTTCGCATTCCATCCACGCCCTGGTCGTGCTCCGAGTGGCACAAGTGTTGCACCGGCGGCCGGCTTGCTTTTGCCCGACCGGCTCATGCCCCCTGGTGGTGGCGACCTGTCATTGTCATTGCAGCGCTGGTCTCGGCTTCCGACTTCCCCACCGCTTCTCCCTCTGGTGGCCAGCCCTTCCCAGGCCCTGCTCCTGACTCAGCCTGGACCAAGCCGCGCTGATTCACCTCCAAGGAGCCTTCCCACACCCACACCTGCCTGGCTTCAAAGGAGTTTCCTAGCAGTTCCTGCTGAGAAGCCCAGGTGGGCTGAGATTCCCCAGAAATCATTTCAAGTGCTGAGAGATAGTGGGTCACAGTGCATGGGCCTGTGGTCCCAGCAACTCAGGAGGCTGAGGCAGGAGGATCACAAGTTCGAGGCCAGCCACGACTCAGTGAGACCCTAAGCAACTCAGTGAGACTCTGTCTCTAAATAAAATACAAAATAGGGCTGGGGATGTGGCTCAATGGTGGAGTGCCCTTGAGTTCCATCCCCAGTACCCACCTGCCCATACCCAAGAAGAGATAATCACTCCAGAGTCACAGGGAACTTTTGATAAAGAGGAATTGATAGTAAAGTAACAAAGTCTGGATGTCTATGGAGCCTGTGTTCCAACCCTTCCCAGGACAGCATCACAAACTGGGAAGTGCCACTCAAAAAAAAAATGGCTTCTAAAGCGAAGAATATTGAAGTTGAAAATAAAAATAAGTGGTCTGCTGTCCCACTAGACAAGTTGGAACCTATGGCTCATATACAGGTCCCTTCCAGTGGGAAAGGGCTGTCCAGAAATTTCACATTTCTCATAGGGTGACCCACATTAAAGACCTCACTGAAAAATACCACATATCCCTTCTGGCAACAGCTCTTCCTATTCTAAAATTGCTAGGTAAAATATTTACCCTGGTAGAAACAGATTCAGAGAATGCTCAGGAAAAAAATGACTCCAAAATACACTGCTGAGCCTTTCAGAGAACTTTCATAGTGTGTGTGTTTCTGCAGCCTGGGGACTGATCCCAGGAATGAACCCACAGGTTAAGCAAGTGCTCCACCATAAGCTACATCCCAGCCCCCTTTTTTTTAAAAGTCATTTATATCATTGATTTTTAATAAACTAGGTAGAAAACTTGCAGAGAAATGATGGTTGTAAGTGTCGACATGCCAACCATGAAGGAAAGAAGTCAGATTTCCTGAACTTTTGGTTCCACTAAAAGAAAAGAGAGTTACTAATTAACTCTCTTCTTATTGTTTCTTCTCTCTCTCTCTCTCTTCTCTCTCTCTCTGTACTAGGGAATGAACCTAGGGATGCTTAACCACTGAGCCACATCCCCAGTCCTTTTACATTTTTATTTTGAGACAGAGTCTTGCTGAGGGGTTGAGGCTGGCCTCAGCTGCCTGAGTTGTGGGGATTACAGGCAGGTGCCACTGTGCCCTACCTAATTAACTCTCTTCTGATGAGAAGATTTTTAAATAAATTTCTTAACACAAATTAGGACAACACATGACTGGAAACTATATTCAATTCACTTTTTCCACAAAACTACTTAGAAATAAAAAATATGCTTATTTTCAAATACCAATTAATCAACACAAGATATATCAAATAGCTATATCATTTGGAATCTTAAAATGGTAACAATTAGCAAATACGTTCACAGCAACAATCATTCAAATATCATTCTCAAACATCAGAGATTTATTACATGTTAGCTGTCTCAGAGTTTTTCAGTGGTAATACATTAAAAATCATACATGTCGGATAAAAGCATCAGTGCGATTATTTTATAATTCAGTTGCAATCAAAATGCTAGCAGGGCCTGTTTTCTCCACACATGCCAAAAATCAGTTTCTATAATGGCAGGATACACTCAAATATTAACTTAGCTATGCTTTCTAAAAATAATTTGTTCAAGAAATATTCTTTCTCCAACTGGGTGTGATGGCACAACTGTAATCCCAGCATTTTAGGAGGCTAAGACAATAGGTTCAAAAGTTTGAGGCCAGCCTCAGCAATACAGCAATATAAAAGGGGTGGTGGGATGTAGCTCAGCAATAAAGGACCCCTAGCTTCAATTCTCAGTACTGAAAAAATATATATGCATTTATTTTTTATTATCTCTCCAGGAACCCCAGTTCATCTCCTTTCTTTTTTATTCTCTTTCAAAATTAGGGACTTGTTTTTAGTAACATTTGAGATCAGTAATTCATTTGCCACTACATTAAACTTAGAGTTTAATGCCTATGTTATCACTAATTAACGAATATTATTTAAAATGAGTCCCACAAAATATGATTTTCTACCCCAAATGTTACAGTCACCTTGTGAATACATTAAAGGATTATTTATTACATTCTGTTGTCACCAAGGAAAATATGCTTTGTAGCTTAAACAAAAACTAGTTCAACTTCAGTATTTCACTGTCATATTAAATCTCCTGGCCTGGAAAAAAATAAAAATAAAAATAAAATCTTTTAAAAGCATGACCTTTTTTCTGGAACATTTCCTGTACCACTAAGCACCAGAATTGGGAACTTGCCGTCTCCCCAACTCACCATTCCTTAGGGAATGTCAGTGTACAAAGGCCCATAGTCCCTGAGTTCTGTCACCTGACATCTGATTCAAGAGAGCCTGGGACGCTTCCAAACTGGCTACCAATTCTTCGTGGCCTCCCCGCAGCCAGAGGCTGACTGCCGTCCCAGCAAGTACATGGGTCTGGGTGTCAGGCAGGCTGGAGTCTCAAGCCAGGCTCCGCCATTTGCCAGAACAGAGAGCCAAGAAAGGACAGTGTCTCCGGTGAAACTAGTGCTAACAGAAATCTACATAAATCAGGGTGATTAACCACCTTCCCAGAAACACCCAGCTTGAGAAATATGTTTTACTGTGTCTTGATAAAGCCAGGGAACTTAGGACAGTCTCAGAAAAAGACTAGAGGCAGTTTCAGAAAAAGCAAGGTGACTCAGAAGTATAAGCGGTGGTTTTTAAAATTATAGGGTATTACTCATGAGGAAGTGATCCCAAGAAAGACATTTTAAAAGATCAACTTGTAATACTAGAAAATGGCTGTGACACAGGGGTTAAGACTTGACTACCATTTCTAATTCTATTAATGGAGATCTTTCGGCTCTAAGACAGAGGTTCAACTCAAGTTCACCAAAACCAAACGGGTGTGGCTGCTACAGGGCATAAGGTCACTGCCATCATTCACCAAATCCATGAACCACACCCTTGAGGGCCAGAACCGGGGACTTAACGCCATTCATTCCTCCATCCGTCATCCATCCATCCTTCTCTCGGGCTGTGTGTCTCTCTTTCCATGTCAGCTTCCCTCTTGCTGTGGCATAGCAGGGCCTCTCTATGCAATGAGGAGCATGATCACCTACCCCTCCAGTTCTGTAAACCCAATATCTCTATGTTAATCAAGGAAGAGTCTGATTGGCTCTGCCGGGTTCACACACTGGGCCATAGGCCAATCCCTGTTTCCAGGGAGACAGAGTGTTATGATTGACTAGTGTGGATTAGAGGCTCATCCCTGCGCCCAAAGGTCTCTGACTAAAGGGAGGGAGCCAGTTACCTCAGCAAGATCACACTCACCACTTAGCTGGGTGTGGTGGCACACACCTTCAATCCCAGCAGCTGCAGAGGCTGAGGCAGAAGGATCCCTAAGCAACTTAGCAAGACCCTGACTCAAAATAAAAAATGAAAAGGGCTGGGGATGTAGTTAAATGATTAAATGCTCCTGAGTTCAATCCCTAGTACATATATATAGATATAGATATAGATATAGATACAGATATATACCCCATGGTGCGTGATCTCACCATTTGAGTGGTACTAGGGAGTGAACTCAGAGGCTCTTTACCAATGAGCCACACTCCCAGTCCCTGTTCATTGTTTATTTGGAGATGAGACCTCACTAAACTGCCCCAGCTGTCCTCAAACTTGTGATCCTCCTGCCTCAGCCTCCTGAGTTGCTGGGATTACCACCACCCAGCTTCTCCCATCATAATTGCCAAAATATCTAGGTCCAGCTTCAAAGACAGTGGAGTTTGGTGGCTTGCTCTAGTCCCGTGTCTCCCCATATGCCGTTTCTTAATAAGAAATCAGTTCCTTACATGGGGAGAGACACACAGGTCATTCAGTTTATCCGTGCAACCCTGTAAGATTATCCACGTCCAGTTCCCCAGCTCTCTATCTACCAGCCAGTCTCTGGCAAGAAACAGAGCTGGTTCCCGGGATGTTTGGGTGCATCATGATGAACAAGACCTAGTGTCTTGGAACCAGATCACCTCTGAGTGAAGTGATGGAGAATGACCTTCTGAACCTGCCCGGTTTCTGTCCAGATAAACATCTGCTCCCGAGAAGGAAGGACAGAAGGCAGGCCGGCAGGAAGAAGCTAACATTTCCAGGGTGCTGACTCTTGGGCATTGTTCTAAGTACTGAGCATAGAGTATCTCATTTGATCCTCCCAGCCACCCTACCATGGGAACAATGTCTATGATTAATTAGATCAGGACACTAAAGCTCGGGATTAAGTGTAGTGCCAGGATTTGAACTCAGATTGGCCTGGCGAGGGAGTGATGAACCCAGCCTAATTCCATGTTAAGATGGGGAGCCATCTCGTCACAAAGCCAGCAAAGTTCATTTCTGTTTTACTGTAAAATACCAAGATTTCTATTTGGCCTGGCCATAATTGGATGTTTTAAACACTTGCTTGGGATTCCTGCCCTTGCTTTGAACTTCCCCATGCCCGGCTCTCCTTGACCAGATGACAACCCTCCCTGAATCCCAGCTGCCCCTGGTTAACTCTGATGTTGGACTGAGTCTGCTGCCCACCTTGAGATGTTAAACAATGTAGATCCTAAACCTGCTGTCAGCCCTTGAATAACACTTGCCAGAACCCTGTCAGCTCCCTGTCAGTTCCCAAGACACGCCCCCCCCCTTTGTAACTTTTTGTGCTATCAAACCTTCTTTTCCCAGATAACTGCTGCCGCTGTAATTTGGTGTGAAGTTGGAGGCGGTGGTCTCTGCATGGCGGAGAGCACCACTCACCCGTCAGTCCTGCAGCTGCTTTGCCCAAGCTTCCTGCCCTGGCCCCTCCCCCTTTCCTCTTCCTCCTCCTTCCTCAACTGAGGCTGAAACTGGTTCTCTACACCTCTCTCGCTTGCTTGCTTCCCTCTGTTTCCTCCCTGCCTCTCTCCCTCATTCTCAGTCTTATACCCCCTCAGTGGAGACCGCTCCTAAAATCAAAGGGTTGGAGACCGCACTCAGCCAGCTCCACCCTCCCAGCCCTCTGCTCTCCTCCCCAACGTGGGCATCCCCTCTGTCCAGCCTGTAGAACCCCGGGTTGACCAAACACCAAGCCAGCCGCAGTCCCCACTGAGCACACGCCAAGAGCCGCTGGATTTTCCGAGGAATCTCACCTGACTGACCTAGGAATCTCTCCTACCTGGAGAACCTGCCTGGGACGGCGACTTCCTGACCAGTGTCCTCCTGAGCTCCTGTCTCTCCCTTCTTCATCGATTATGATCAGAGTTGTGTTCCCGTTCTCTTTTTGTTTACCTTTATTTTCATTTTTTTAACTTTTTGATTTTTTTGCAGTACTGGGGATTGAACCTGAGGCGCTCTACCACTAAGCTACATCCCTAACCCTTTTTAGTTTTTTTATTATTTTGAGACAGGGTCTTGCTGTTTTCCAGGCTGACCTAGAACTTGTGATCCTCCTGGCTCAGCCTCCCAAGTAGCAACGTGGTTTTGCTACCGCTCGATCCTTGTCCCCAGGTCAGTCCGATAATGAAGACATGGTTTTGAGAAAAAGAAAGAAGGTTTATTGCTTTGCTAGCAAAGGGGACTCCTGCCCCAAAAGCTGTGATTCTGCCCATCAGCAGGAACAGGCTTTTAAAGAGGTGACTCTAAGGCTACAGTGATCTCTGCTGGAGTGGTGATTCGCTTGTTAGTTTGGGAGGGATTCATCTCTGAGATCTTCTGGTGCCATCCCCAAAGTCTGGATGACTTCCTTCCTAAGATGGGTGTGTGCTCAGGACAGATAACTCTGCCAAGGATGGGGAACAAAGGTAATCCTGTTTCCCCTGAGATTAGGGAGGGCAGGGATTAGGGAGGAGCAGGGAGAGAGGAGGAGAAAGAAATGTCCATAAATAAGTTGGGGGGGGGGCTGTAGCTCCCTGGCTGGGCGCTTCCCTAGCACGTGTGAGGCCCTGGGTTCCATCCTCAGCACCACGTAAAGAGAAACAAATAAAATAAAGGCATTCTGTCATCTACAACTACAAAAAAAAAAATTTTTTTTTTAATAAGTTGCAGTGGCAGAGCACAAGGACTATATTCAAAGCATAAAGTGGAGCTCTGTTACAGTTTCTTTTTAAACTCTCTCTTCCCTGCTGTTCTGGGTGACAGACTAGAGAGACCCCTCCCTCAACCGGTTCTTTTTTTTTTTTTTTTTAATTTTTCAGTCATACATGACAGTAGAATGTATTTTGACATATAATACATACATAGAATGTACACACTTGCATCATATTGTCTATTCTGTTCTGCTGCCCTTCCTATCCCCCCTACTCCCCCCCTCCTCTCCCATCCTTTCTCTCTATCCAATCTAATGTGACACACTTTTTTTTCTTTTTCTCATTACAACATCATATATATAATCTGTATAACAATGAGGTTCTCCTTCCATCTTCTGTGCAACTCCCCTTCTCCCTCTTTTTCCCTCCCACCTCTCTTCTAGTGGTAGTCTTCTTCTCATGCTCTTCCTCCCTATCCCATTTTGAGTCACGCCCCCCCCTATATCAGAGAAGACATTCGGCATTTGTTTTTTAGGGATTGGCTAACTTCACTTAGCATAATCTGCTCTAATGCCATCCATTTGCCTGCAAATGCCATGATTTTACTATTTTTTAGTGCTGAGTAATATTCCATTATGTATAAATGCCACATTTTTTAATCCATTCATCTATTGAAGGGCATATAGGTTGGTTCCACATTCTAGCTATTGTGAATTGTGCTGCCATAAACATTGATATGGCTGTGTCCCTGTAGTATGCTCTTCTTATAGTATAGTCCAAGAAGGGGAATAGCTGGGTCAAATGGTGGTTCCATTTCCAGCTTTCCAAGGAATCTCCATACTGCTTTCCAAATTGGCTGCACCAATTTGCAGTCCCACCAGCAATGTATGAGTGTACCTTCCCCCACCCATCCTCACCAGCACTTATTGCTGTTTGACTTCATAATGGCTGCCATTCTTATTGGAGTGAGATGGTATCTTAGAGTAGTTTTAATTTGCATTTCTCTGACTGCTAGAGATGGTGAGCATTTTTTCATGTATTTGTTGATTGATTGTATATCATCTTCTGAGAAGTTTCTGTTCAAGTCCTTGGCCCATTTGTTGATTGGGTTATTTGCTTTTTTGTTGTTTAACTTTTTGAGTTCTTTGTATACTCTAGAGGTTAGAGCTCTATCTGATGTTTGA